GCACATAATTTTCAAGTACCTTGTTAGACACCCAACTAGAGATCGAGTAGGCAATTGGATATGCACATCTGGAGATCAGAGTGTAGTAGATTTCAACCCAGAATATTTAAAGCCATGGGACCAAGTGTGATAGATACAGAGAGTACAGAGGACAAACGATCGAGCCCTGGGCACTCCAGAGTTAAGATATTGCAAAGTTAAGGAAGAACAGCAAAGGATACGGAGAAGGAAAAGCTAACATGGCTTCCCACCTGGAGGTAGAACACCGGCAGATGGTCTAAAACTCTTACAAGGAGGACTGTCCTTAGTTTTCCTTTAATCCTGTACTATCAATATAGTTTTGAACCTGCTTATTGGAGTTCCCTGTAAGCCTGGAATGCTCTATGCACAGTGTCCTGGAATGGGGCTGGGATGCTAAAAGGCAGTCACTCTCTGTTCTTACTTGCCTGGCTTCCTATTACAGAGACGGCTGCCATGGAGAAAGGGAATGAGGTGTAGGGGCTGTGGTGGCAGAGGCAGCCTCCTGGGATTACGCTGTGGTGAACTGAGCTGGGCCAACGGAACCTGGGGCAGGCTAAGCCGAGCCCATATCCCAGACCTGAGTCACAGAGTAGACCTGAAAGGGGTCCCTGGCTGCGTTCCTAAATGAATCAATGGCTATTTCAAAGAAGTAAATTGAGCTCTTGACCTTTGTGATCCCGAGTTAACTGTGACACACCCATCAGGTTTATGGTAAATGCTAAGACAAAATTGTCATGTAGAGTAAGAAATAAAATTTCGTGCCCTCAAGGGGCTCAGAGCCCTACGATACTGGGTACTACTGTATCCTCAAGGCTGAGTATAATGACTGATGTTTCGGAGGGAACTCAATAAATAGTTGAACAAATATACAAAAATAACAATGTGATAAAGAGCTGAAGAGGGATATGCACAGGGTAGTACTAGGAAGCACACAGAAAATACCATTCTGGCCGGAAGTGGTGACATGTTTCACATGGAGGTGACATTTGAATTGGGGGAGAGGGGATATTTCCAGACAGAGGAGTACCCAAGGGGTCAGCCTGAGTATGGGCCCCTTGTTCAGGGGATGGTGAGGTGTGTGATGTGACCAGATTCCTTGAGCATAACTGGCTTAAAAGTGTTGAAAGCCTATGAAACCCTACATGACCCCAGTCCTCTACCCCTATGGTGGCTGCTCATTACTGTGCCAGGCACCAGGACAAGCTACTAAGCCTGCTGCCAACTGTCTGCTGTGTCCTCACTCTCCAGAGAGATTAGGATATTTCACAGCTTTAGGATGAGCTTCTTGATTACAGTCCAGTGGAGGCTCACTGTTGTGTCCTTCGCTGGGGGCTTCGCCACAGGTTGACAATAGCAGTAACAGATGGCCTTCTTTTCTTCCTGTCCTGAGAAAACTGCTTTGCAAACTAACGTCTAAGCTCTTCGCAGTTTTGTCTGGAAGCCTGTGAAGAGGAAGTAGGAATGTGAGATCCAGAAAGCCACTTGTTATTCTGTAGAACAGGAGCCAGCCTTTAGTTCTGATGTTTTCAGGCCAGGAAAAATGGTGTTCTTCCATACAAATGGTGGGTGACCCACAAAAGACAAGAAACCTTCAGTCCATACCCTTGGCCAGCTGGTGGTCAGAGAGTCACAATTGTGTGGTTGATCTTGAGGGAAGGAGGTGACCCTCTAACAGCCAGGAAAAGACTGAAACAGCATGGAGACTTTCTTCACTTCCTCCACAGACTGAAGAGCTATGGTTCAGACTGGAATCCCCCATTCCTGGCATCTCATAAAACTTGAGGTAGTCATCTTCAGACCAAGTAGAGTATTTATTATATTCAGCACCTCCTAGTCTTTCTAAAATTGGGGGCTTAGCAGGATTATGGAGATGCTCGTCTTCCCACCAAAAGGATTTCTTTAAAATTTACATTTGCTATCATTATTTGATTCCAGGGCAGTAGTCCCAAAATTACCTAAGGTATACAACTTTGTGGCTGGTCTAATCACAGTCAATGAATGTGGATCACAAAGCAACAATATGAGGACTCTACTCTTCTTGGTGCATTTCATTTTTTTTTTTTTTTTTTTTAGCACCTTCTAGATTTTAGGCACTGGAAATGCTCTGATAATACATAGCTCCAATCTTTTTGGAGCTCACGTGGTTTAATTATTAGACTTAAATCCAAACCACATGTTTAGGTTGCCAAAGAGACTGAAAACTCCTGTGAAGCAAGATCAAACTGCTGGGAATCCAGGGTTGAATCTGAAAGCTCCATCCAGGAAGGGGTAGATATTACTTAAACAGCAGAGGGACGTGGTGGGCACTGCATTGTGATAGCTCATGTGACAGATCATAAGGGAACTGACACCATATGGTCAGCCTTACTGGGCTTGTCAGGGCACTGTCTCCAGCCTGTGGTGGCGTCTTGGGTGGTCCACGTAACTAATCACCAGTTCCTTTCATTCTTTCTTCCCCAGATAAAGCTAAGTCATACCCTCGTGACCCCATGATGAGCAGTGCTGGCATCTTCTCATCCTCTTGGGGCAATGAACTGGGAGGCTGCTAGCAAGAGAGAAGTTAGGGTATGAGGATGAAGATATCTTTTAAAGTTGTGGAAGACGGTACCTTCTTGGGTACCGTTCTATCAAGTTGAGCCATGGAAGAGGTTATCAGTCACCTGAGTCACTTACTGTCTCTCTCACTGCTGGCTGTTTTCTTTGGTTGCTGGCCAGTATCGTTCTCCCTGCTTTTCTTCCTCCCACCTGGGCCAAACACTGCACCGCCAGGCACATGGGAAGAGATACTAGTTAGAAGAAAAGCAAAAGCCCACTGGCCTAGTCCCTTTCTCTATCACCCCCCTCCCAAAACAGTAATGCTTTAGGACAAGGTGACAGACCCCAGAGACAACTACAGGCTGACCTAACTTCAGAAACTGCTTTTGTAGTAGTTGCAGAGGAAGATCAGACCATTTTCTGGCATGGCTCTTATGTTAAGCTCACTCCAGAGCACACTTCACCTGCCATTTGGTCTCTGGCTATAACCCACAACCAAGCTGACGGTCCCTGAGTATATTCCAAATTGAGGACCCGAACAACCATGCCCAATTTTCAGCAGACTTGGTAGGTCTTACTATGTAATTCTGCCTGTTGTCCAGTATGCCTACTGAAGACTTGAATTTTGTCTCATTGGCTGGTATCATTAAGCCTATTTGGAAATCAGGGCTTAAGTTTGCTTCTAAACACTGGGATTCAGGCCTGGAACAGGACAGCGTGACAGGATAAACCAAAAACCAAGAGTTGCCATTTCTTTTCCTACTGGCACATTTCATTCTTACTGACTGGTATCTGTCCTTCCACTGGTTTTCACAGGCTGCACCATGGTTGAGAGAGAGTTTATTACAGGCTTAACTATGTCCCGGCACTCTTCTGAGTCTTGGCTTCGTAGTGGTTAACCACATAATACGAAAGTCCCTGCCCTCGTGGAGTTTAAAGTCTAGGATGGAGACGGATAACAAACAAAATAAGTAAAGCAGTAGGTTGAACTATATGATAGGTCCATTTTTGTAGGTCACAAATGAAATTCCAAGTTTCATATGATTCAAAGTAATATATTCTATGTTAGTAATAAATGCAAAGGAGAAATAAAGGAGGGACAGTGGGGAGATATATGGTTGGAATTTTAAATAGATTGGAATCGAAGACCACACCAACAAGGTGGCATTTGTCACCTAAAAGCTGTCTGGAAGGAAAGCATTGCCAGTAAGAGGAATACCGAGTGCAAAGGCCAGAGTATGACTGGCATGTCCAAGGAAAAGCCCTCTGGCTGGTGAGGCTAGAGCAGAGAGCACGAGGGTTAGAAAGGCAGGTAGGGGTCAGTTTGAACAGGTACTAGGGAGCTGGATGATAGGGACTTGAAGGCCAAGGAGAGAAAGAAAAGCTGGATTTCACTCTGAGATGGGGAACCTTAATGGATTTTTTTCTCACTTTTGTTAAGAAGCAAAAGAATCCATTAGAGTGGTGTTTTAGCATGAAGGAATGCTTATCAGGGCCCAGGAAGTACTACCCAGGCTCCCCAGAAGCTGCACTGGGCCCAAGAGCAGTGGAGTCAGGACATTGTAAGGTAAGGACTAAGTGTGGCAGTCACTGGAGAGGGTCACCTGAATCCTTAAACTTTCTGGAATTCCTTTGTCTTAATACCAGAGAGCTGAAAATTGGGACTTTTTTTTCTTTCTTTCTTACCTGAAAGCCCATTGTTTTCTCTCAGTGAAACCCAGGTCTTGCATTTTCATGGCATTAACCACACTAATAACCACTCTGATGAGTGTTGGAGGAGACACCCACCAGCCAGGGCAAGGCAGACGGTGGTCATTTCCTCCGAGAATGTGGATAGGGCACTGTCATGTCTGTCTAGGCTGGGTGCCCTGGGTGGCAGCCTGTGGTTTCAGTACAGATCACATCCACAGGGGCTTGCAGACATACCACAGGCCGCCTTGTGTTACCCTCCCACATGGACTGCCCTGGGGGCTTATAAATATTCACGCTGAGGCTCTGGACAAACTTGTAAGCATGGCATCCTTCTACGTTAAGAAAAGTCTCCCTGCTGTCCTTACTCACACACTGATCAGCCAGCAGCTGCCACAGAATTTTAAGATGGGCTGAAGCATTTCTGGAACCTTATCTGAGCTATTAGAAAGGAGAACAGCTAAAAGAGCTGAGGAGCAGTGTTGGTCGATGTTTATGACTATGCTGGTGAAGAGGGATCGGATATTAAAATAAAGACTGTTATTTAATGATTTTGAAACTTCCTCCTTCCCAGAAGGATCTGACACAGCCAAATTAAGGTATTTTTTATGTCCTACAACCAACTCCATCCCTGTATGACAGTAAAGCCCATGTTTTCTGTCTTCTGTCTCAATCACAATAAAAAACATTAATTTTACTCACAGGGTTTGTTTAAGCCACATAATACAAATGATATGTATAGTATTTAATCAGAGGCACAATTTAAATGTGAACACTCAGGTCTTTTATAGTGACAAGCAGCTCAGTAGGCTCCTTCACCTCAGGCACTAGGGCTTGACCACAGAGCCTCCATGCCGCACAGTGCCCCTGAGTCCTTGCAGAAGTCCCCGCCGTGGTACCTCACCATTCCCCAGGTGGTAACTTAGTACCTGTGCCAAGAGACCACCAAAGTTCCACGGACCCTGGGTGAAGATTCCTAGGGAATGAGATGGGGATTAATCAGGCTTTACTATAGGCCCTTTGAAATACAAAAGAATTTGCTCAGTAATATTAGATCTCCCCAGCTGAGTAAGATATGTTCAGGTGGAGGGGAGTATATTCTTCCAAGGGTATTATGTTGTAGCTGGGTTCTCCCCTCCACCCCTCTCCAGCCAATTACTGCACCTTTTAAAACATACCCTCAAAACTGCACGGATTTGCTTCTCCATAACTTGTGAACTTTAAACTGCTTTTCTGTGGGAGGGGCCTGCCAAAGGCTTTAACCTATTGTCAGGTGCTAGTCTATGTTCCAGTTTTGTTACTACTGTTACTGTTATGGGCATGGAAAGTATTTTGTAGATGCTTTAACATTCACAACTATTTTATGAATTAAGGATTAGCCTGTTTTACAGCTGAGGAATCGTAATCAGACAAGTTAAAGAGATTTTTTTTTTCTAAGGTCACCAGTCTTAAAATGGCAAAAGCTTGGATTCAAGCCTGTATCATACCCTGAACTCAGAGCAGGTAACTATGAACTGAACTACCTCTTAATTCAGGAAGTCTTTGCTAAGACCTCACATATTCCAGAGGACCAACACATTCTTCACTGGCGGCCTTATCCTGGGGGCATGCGCTCCATGCTTCCCGTCGTAGTCTCTGACCGCACCTCTCCAAGATGCTTCAGTCAGCTGTTCCTTTCACTTACCCATCTGACCCTGCAGTGCATTCCTCTACCTACCTCCCAGCTCTCTGACCTCCGGAGAAGTACAGGGTTGCAGGGTTAAAGAGATTGCTTTTTTGAAGCACCTTTCTTCAGACAGTGAACAGAGGAACCGGTTCCCTCTATTCCACCCCTGCTAGAAAGTCCTCTAAGGCCTCCAGCGTACAACAGTGGGATTAATTTGGGAAGCAGGGTGATCAGATCGAAAGTCAGACGTGAAGTGCCATACTTGGCAGAAGATGCCATCAGAGGATGAAGACAGAGCTGTGAAAGTTGTGATCTGTGGTTTGAAACACAGTCCTTGATCTTGTCCAAACCTAATACTCTACCACCAGTTCACTCATGTTCTTTTTTTGTGGGAAAGTTGCTGTAAATGACTTGGAAGCTTCGGTGTGGTAAACCCAGAGAATTTAAAGGTAGGAACACAGAATTTAGAACCAAGATTAAATTATGAGGATAGAATTGCTCCTGCAAGGTATCTGAAAAACAGCTCTGGGGGGGATATACGTTAGCGATCTTGATTATATAGGTGTCATTTTGCAGAGAAAACCGTTTTTCTCCTGCCACATAAAATAAAGCCATCCTCTTGCGACATTCTTTTTGCTGAGAAAGTTCTGTTGGGTAAGATTTGGGGCCCTCCACTGCCTTGGTCACTGCAGGTTCTGGACTGCCTTAGAAGCAGCTTTCGGTGTGAGACTGGTAGCAGGGCTGGAGGTGGGGCAGGCAAAGCACTCCCGCCCACAACGCAGACCCCCGAGAGTGACTGTCTCCTTACACTTTGTCTCACTTGCTTTGCCTCAGTCCTGGCCCCAGAATAGCTCCTCAACTACTAGAGCTGGCAAGAGGAACTCTCAGTTACATAGTGATCGGTAAAACCGTAAGAAAGAGAAAAATGAACATTTAGTATGATGGGGTAGTGGGGTCAGCAAGTGGAAACAGAGCTTCTTAGTGTCTACTCAGGGCCAAATTCATTGAAAAGCATTCTAAAAGCATTCAGATGAAACAATTCTTCTGAAGTTTGCAGGGGGTTTCTAAATGCTTATATAAGTATAGAAATCTCTGACTCGGGTGTGCAGTCAGTTGTTGGTGACGGCCAACAAAAAGACTGCTCACAGGCTTTAATTCCGGTTAAGATCCGGTCTCTTGCATTGAACCATGGTTCTGTGTGAATTTCCTTAGAACAAGGTTGACTTCCCCTGCAAAAGTCCAGATGGTAAGTATTTTAGATCTTGTTCGGCCTAGGGTCTGTCAAAACTACTTACTCTGCCGTTCCAGCACCAAAGCAGCCACAGACCAAGTCCATAAACGAATGGCCCCAGGGTACGTTCCAATAAAACTTTATTTATAGAACCAAGTCCACATATCACTTGTGGGCCTTTGTTTGCCAAAGTCTGCCTTAGACCTAAAGGAAAATGCTCAGTGCTATAAGAGCTTTATGGGAAGAAACAGTAACAAGTTTAATTTGCTTTTCTAGAAATCTATTGAGTTCACATTCCAACATGTATGAAAGAGGCTAAAAATATTTCTAAGAAAGTGATGAGATTTCTTGATCAAGTCAGAATAGTTGCATAAAACAGTCCCTAACACTTGATACTGCAAAACAGATGTCATAGCCCAAAGCAGTTGGGCTGTACAGTATCTGTACAGTTACTCACTTTACATCAGAAAGCCATGGGGGGTTCTCACCTGTCTTCTCTTCTGCCCTGCAGGACTGTTCCTTATCCTGGGTTTGATACTCTACCCTGCTGGCTGGGGCTGCCAGAAGGCCATAGGCTACTGTGGACACTATGCATCGGCCTATAAACCCGGAGACTGCTCCTTGGGCTGGGCCTTTTACACCGCCATCGGAGGCACAGTCCTCACCTTCATCTGTGCCGTCTTTTCCGCACAAGCAGAAATTGCAACCTCCAGTGACAAAGTACAGGAAGAAATCGAAGAGGGGAAAAGCCTTATATGCCTCCTTTAGTTTGGAAGAGACACAAATGCCACTTTCTTCCTGTGGTAACCTTGTGAAATAGTACCCCTCTGATTTCATCATCTGAGTCAAGTGAAGAACTTGCCTTTATCTCCCAAAGCCTACATTCCACAGCCCTGAGCCTTAACAGGACGAGTGAGAGGCAACATCCAGCTAAGTGACGGCACTCGAGGACCACAGTGCAAGCTGTCAGAGATGGAATATAAAAATACTGCACCAAGACTGACATGAAGTTGACAAGTCTGTCTGACTCCCATCTCCCCCCAGGCTCAACGAAGGAGAATGATCTAAGCCATTAAGGACGCAGTTCCTCTGATAACAGAGGAGATTGCGAGCTAGATTTTCACCCTATTTTGAGATGTGTTTCTGCCACAAGGCTGCATGCCTGTGAGCATCTCTGCCTCAGAATGAGGTTTGGGGGTTGGTGTTTTTGTCGCCTCCTAGTTCTTCCATGTTTTCTCAGAGACTCAAATGAAGACTGCATACTTACTGGGGATAGGATGTGTGCTTGAGGGCCTAATAGGACACTGCCTCTTAATTAGCTGACCGAGGGGTGAGCAGGTCAGTGTGGAATGCTGTTATGGGACTTACTTAGGCTGAATTCCAGGGTAAGGTAGATCGATTAAACTGTACTTCCAAGATTTTAGAAATTTGAAGGAAGGAAGGAATAAGGACCTATATGAACAAGAGCATAAAAGAAGAAAATCCTGCTAGTGAAGACAAATTCATTCCACTTCCCAGCAGTCAGACTAGCACCAGCACTGGCCCAGTGTCTTCTTCCAGTGGAGATCACGTGTTTTTCTCCTAGGGTTAGGACTGAGCTTTGACTGCCAAGGAAACCTCACCGTTTCCTCATTCCAGGAACAGAGATCTCCAGGCCAGCTGTGGCTCATTCAGATGTTCAGTGGGAAAACTTGCCAGAATCTCAGCACTTATGGGGAGACCTTTTCCCACTCTTTGGTAACCATGTGGTAGTCAGCTGTATTTCCAACCCCAGCAGCAAGTGAATGACATTCTTTGCAGGAAAAAAAGAGCTAGTCATAGGAGTTAAGTTTCCCCAGTTTCTGGTATTGATCCTGAAAGCAGACCAAAGTAACATTAAAATTACTGCAATGGGTGATTTGCATCAAAGGCCTCATACCCAGAAAAGCACAGAGTAGAAAGTTAATGCAAAAACGAGAGCTAACCCGAGCTTAAAGCGCCTGCCTATAACTGTTTACAAAAATAATGGACCACCACTATTAAAAGGATTCAGGAGATTTGAATCTTAGTTTCTATAAATTGTCAATAAAATTGATTCATAAGCATGGTATTAGCCATCACTTCAAATTTACTTTGGAATGATCTCAGTGGCAAGAACCCGGTTGGGTACTGCCCCAAGCTTCAGAACTGCAGAACGAGAGAGAAATTTAAGCAAGTGGAGTTGGAGCTGTGAGACTTCTGGAACAGTTAAAAGAATAGGTCTATTTGGGTTTATGAATCTGCTCACATGAGAACGGGCTTTGTTTTGAAAGCTTAACATATAATTTACTCTGCACCTGCTCTGTGTAAGGTGTTGTATTGTAAGTGCCACGAGGCATAGAACCATGATTCAGATTTGACAAGCTTGTCCCAAAGTGAATCCTCTTCAGGCTGATTCTAAAAACATGCCTTGGTGCAAAACAAGTAATTGATTCTCTTCTGGCTTCTGGTCTATACCACAAACCATCCTATCACACAGATTAAAACCTAAACACAGGAGGAGTGGTAGTGTAGAACCTGGCCTTAATGAGTTCACCATTCTTAGACCAAAGTTCAAAATATGCACGATGTAAGCCCTAGGACTTCTTTTGAAAAGAGAAGGGATAAATAGGTATCCTCATAGCAGCTCTCGGTACAGGCTCAGGAAACATTAATTCTCTAACACCACACAGAAATAGGTAATGGCAGCCAGCCAATGGACAGGGCTCCTGTCCCTGACTATGCATTTATATGCTCTAACCAAGCCCCAATGACCACAGTAACTACTTTTTCAACATGGATAGTAATTTTCATTAAAAAAAATTCCTTTTCTCAGAAGATTCACTTTTTTTCTGTAAAAAATAGAGAACCCTTTTCCTAATTCCCTAACACTAATTTTACACTCTGACCTTCCTCTTACAGGTTAAAGTCCTAAGCCCTGACGCTCCTCTGAGCATGTCCATCATCTTTACTATCGGATTGCACTTCCACTAAATGTATCTCTAGAACACCCTGATAACAGAAGTCACAAGTGTAAATGTGACTTCTCTTGGCCAGTGTTCTACTCCATCAGTCTGAATGCTACAGAAGACAAAGCACGTGCACACACACATAACCCCAAACCACTAAAAACTACTTCAACACTGACTTAATAATCAGAGCAGAGATGGAATTTCTCTAGCAGAGACAGAGTAAGAAGTAATGTTGGGCCTTTTAAACCTCCAGTCCATTAGCTAGGATTTGACTGGGGAAAATGGTATATTAAAATCATTCTAGTCTACACCAAAACTGTACAGCTGTTCAAAAACCACTGAATATGAGGAATGTGTTAGAAATATGTTAAACAATTGGACTGTTGACTCACACTTTTATAATTAATACCAATCACCTAATCACCTCAGTCTAAAAGTCTAATACACCTGGACCATTACTACTACCAGAAAAGTCTTATTTATTTTTGCCTGCATCTGCGCTTAGTTTTGTGATGGGCTGGGCTTCTCAATGAACTCCAAGAAGGCAGAAGTATCTGCCTTGGATTCTGTGGATTTTTTTAAACCTGTGTGCTTAATTCAACAATGTTACATTAATTGTGTAGGGATTTTTGTATAGTTTTCAAACCTCTGTGGTGTAATGATCTTTGTTAAACATGTAAAGTGCCATAGTCTTTTTTTATGTGTAGCATATTTAAAAAATATATATGTATATTATACATACACAAGTCTGTGTGAAAGATGTGCAATAACAAAGGTGTATGTATGTTTTGTTTTGTTTTGGGAAACTGGACAGGAGTCAGAACAGGGATTATTTCTGTTCTGGCAAAGGAGAGGTAAACATTTTTTTTGCCTTCATGGCTTAGTCATTAACCCGTAACAATTTAAATGCTACACAAACTGATGTGAAGACAAGACTGGTATGGAATCATTTATTCCTGGGTCTAAATTAAAATAATCACTAGATTTATGTGAAAATAAAGCCAGCACCAGGCCCAGTGAATGCTAGTCTTTCATGTGAAATGTGAAGCTGCCACGTTGCCTTTTCTGTTAGTGTGATAACTAGTAGCTGGTACATAATCACTAAGGAGCTATTTCTTAACATGCTTTGAGAGACCACATTAATGCTAGACCACTATTTAAGGGATGATCTCACACCTTTGTATCCGTAAGAGTCTGGCTTAGAACAGACCTCTCTGTGCAATAACACGTGGCCACTAGAAATCCCTGGCCTGTATTTGTATTGGGGCAGCAAAGACTCCCAAGGGCCAGAAGAGTTAAAGGCACGACTGGGATTTCTTCTGAGACTGTGGTGAAACTCCTTCCAAGGCTGGGGGATTATTAGGTGCTTTGGAGGAACTCAGCATCACTTGATATTCAGCAGCCACTTGAGCCAAATAGAAAACTGTATTTACCGCTAATGGACTCAACTTGAGCCTTCAAATTTGTGGTTATCCTATTGTATTGTAAACTAATACACTGTCTGTCTAGCATTGATTAGGTTCTTGTGCATATGTATTTCACAGTGCCCTCCCCTCCCCAGATCTTAATTAAACCAGATTTTGGAAACTCATTCTGATTTTTTCAAGTGTAAGTATATTGGTTTCAATAGGATATATATAATTTTCTCAAGAAAACATCTACCAAACTTTATGATAAACATTAACTTATATGTAATATTAATGATGAGGAAAATATTCAGGTACTTTATTCCATTCACTAGTAACATATGTATCCCTACCTTAGGTTAGCTTTAACTTTAATATTAAGTACACATTTCTTCCTTGGAGAAGCATCAATATAAATGGAGGGGAGAAAGGACTCTCAAATACTATACAAATATCTTAGGTTTTACAATAAATTTTAAAAATGTGAAGATGCTTCTAAGTATCACTAAGGTTTTACAAAGAATTGTGTGTGATAAAGACAAGAAGAAAGTCAGATGAAGGGCATGGTCTCTTCCAAGATGAAAAAGCCAGTTGTGGAGCAGTTCCACATCCACATTTCTTGAAGGTAATCCTGCCCATACTGAGCCTTATCAAGAAGAAGAATTCTCATTTATTAATTCAGAGATGACCCTAACAACATATTTCATAAAGTGATTCAACTCTCCATATCCCATGAAGCACTTATCTGACAGAATAAACAAAAATGGCTATTTCTCTTCTGATTGAGGGCCCCTAAAAGCTGAAACAACATTTATGCTTTGGCTTCTAAACATGCCTGAAACCTGCTAGGTTTCTGATAGAAATAAAAATTAAAAGCTGACAAAATTATCCAAATCACTCACGCAACAAATATTCCAAACAAGTTAATCTAAATATCTCAAGCAAATTTGGAAATTTTTAGTTGCTCTTTCAACTATCACATCTTTAATGCAAAAGAGAAAGGACCCAGACTTTGCATGTCAGCAGAGGCTGGGGAATCCTCATAACTGCTTCCCATTTCATCCTTAGTTTTTACCTAGCAGTTCTGCTACTGGATCAACTTCCCATGATTGATCTTCCTGGAACACTGCATTTAACTTACTCCTAGCTCTCCTTAAAGTCTTTGCTTAACATTAAAACTACTCAAGAACAGTCTTGACTATGTTGGACATTTATTTTAAGTGGGTTATTTCAGGAGTTTTCCATAACTCACCACCTTTTCAACTCCGAAACACTAAAGGATAATAACAACATCAAGGCAAACATTTAGCCTACTCTTCAAAGCAGCAAGAACCAATAATTGTCTTTATTTCAGCTGCTTAATCATTTGGCTGGGGTCATGCAACTGCTGTCCCTACTACTATCTTTTTCCTTGCAGCTTCTTCCTCACCACACAGAGTTCTACAAGATAAGTCTTTTAAGTTATGAACTGCTCATTTTGCTGAGGTACACAGGATGTAGATAAAAGCATAAATAAGAGGAAGCAGTAAAACCCCTGGGAAGGAAAAGTCAACCAAATAACATGTAGATATTTGCAGCTCTTTGGCTTTTTACAGCAAAATATCCACAAAAATCTAACATCTGTAGGTAAGCAGTCAACCAAGTGTCCATGGGGGAAACCACTTTAACCTATTTTCAAGAGAACAAAGCCTGAGGGGCACCTGGGTGGCTCAGTTGGTTAAGCGTCCAACTTCGGCTCAGGTCATGATCTCACGGTTTGTGGGCTCGAGCCCCACATCAGGCTCTGTGCTGACAGCTGAGAGCCTGCAGCCTGTTTCAGATTCTGTGTCCCCGTCTCTCTCTGCCCCTCTCCCACTCATGCTCTGTCTCCCTCTCTCTCTCTCTGCCCCTCCCTCACTCATGTTCTGTCTCTCAAAAATAAACATTAAAAAAAAAGAATATTAAAAAACAAAACACCAGCACCTTAAAAAAAAAAAAAAGAGAACAAAGCCTGAATTAAGGCAGGTGATGGTGAAGACCATAAAATGAATTAGGTTTTAGAAAAAGGATGGAGAGCTTGGTGACTAGTCAGAAGTGGGAGGGGGTGTGGAAAGAGGAGAGAGTCCAGAGTGACTCCATGAATTGGCCACTGGGTGGAAAGTGATGCTATCACCAAGACAGAAATCCAAGAGGAGCAGAAACAGTAAAAGCGGGAAGGCTCAGCCTAGGCTGCCAGTGGAGAAGTCCTGTGTGCAGCCCGGAACAGAGTATGGAGAGAAGATCAGGTTAGACAAAGAGATCTGGAAGTCACTGAAACACATGACAGAAAAGTAAGAGTTCTTAATGGCTGCGCACTTTCTTTGTGCATGTACTGTCTTAAGTACTTAGTATAACTGATTTATTCATCAAAACTCAATTTAAAGAAAATTATTCTCATGTTGCAGATAAACCGTCACTTAAGTAACTCAAGTTATTTAAATTTATTTATTTAAATTTATTGAGTTATTTAACTCAAGTTAAATAATTTGCTCTAGTTTAAAAAGCTACCAAGAGGCAAAGCAAGGGCTCAGACACAGGCTTGACACCCAAGTCTATATATTCTCAAACAGCTGTAGTTTCCTTCTACCGAAAAAGTACATGGTGAAAAGAACACCAATACAAACCACAGCGGAACACCAACATCTCTGTGTAGGTGAGTCTTAGAATAACTTCCTAGTACCACTCCAAAAAGACCGTAAGATGACAACTGACGAAAACTGCTCTCTCCTCCCTTTTCAGATAAAGATCTGGTAGTTTTTCATACCTCTCAAGATGACACCACATGTCTCAATTCACTCAGTCCTGAAAACTGCCACTAAAAGTACATCAGGTATATGACAGCAGTATTACAAATGGTGGTTTGATAGTTATTTCATTATGAACAATCTCTCATCCAGGATAAGCAGTTATTATTATTAGCTAAAAAGCCCATTTTCTTCACAGTTAACCTAATAAGGATTTGACCTCAACTAAAGTTTCTCCAAACAGACACACAAATATCAAAGACTGTTGCATAACGGTACAGCAGGTACTCACCAACATATCGCAGAGCTAGGCCTTGGTATGGAGACTTCAAAAGTACATGCTATAATTTTTTTCTTGGTTACTGATTTTTTTCCCCCTCAAGTCCTGTCCCCAAAGGATGGGTATGAATTATGGATATCACTGTGGAAAAGTGGAAAAGGAATAGTTGGAAAGAAGTGGTACTAAGGGGCAGAGGTCCCCTATGTGACAGGAGTGAGGGGACACGGGTCTAGCTGCCCCTTCACCACCACCGAGTGACTGGGATAACTTTCTACTCATCTATAAAAATGCAGCCAATAATAGAAAATACATCATAGGTTTGGTATGAGAATTCAGTGTTGTATGTAAAGCATTTATTATACACTCTGGTATAAAGTCTCCACTAAGTAAAAGTTTTTAGATGAAAAAAGTTCTGTTATATATGGGTTGTGGAATGCTCTGAAGAATAGGATTGTTGTGAGAATATTTATTATAGTATTAGCATATTCTGCTAGGAAAAATAGGGTGAAGGGGCCTACTGCATACTCTACGCGGAATCCGCAAACAAGTTCTGATTCTCTATTAGATCGAATGGGGCTTGACTGGTTTCTGCTAATGTTAAGATGAATCATATTATGGCTAGGGGTCATGTGGGAAGGATTAGTCATATGTGTTCTTGAGTAATGATTAGTGTAGCTAATGTGAAGGAACCATTTATTAGCAATACTGATAGAAGAATAATGGCTATTTAATATACTCTGGTATAAAGTCCTAAGTAAAAGTTATTAGATGAAAAAATCTTGAAGAATAACACTAACTTGTTAAAACCAATCTAATTTTACCCAGAGAGCCTCAATGGATTTGCTACCTGAGTCCACTACTTCTTTTTCCATCCTATTATCCTTATCTTAGTTGTTTCCGGAAGTGGAAGATTTCTCTGTGGATGCAGGATACATGGTAACTCCTATTTAGCAAAACCAAAAAAATAAACAGATTAGTGTTGAATGAGCCATCACCTATGCACAATCAGAATCTAAAAAAAGAAACTTGATAAAAACCTACTGGTGACAAATACTTTAGAAAAGGGAGATCCAATTTGGCAGAGTATGTATAAAGAAGCCATTTCATACAATACTGACAGGGTGTAAATTGATAAAATTTTCTGGAGCAATTTGGCAATGCACAACAAAGGTCTTTAAAACTGCTTTTAAAAATGTGACTCAATCTTGAAGTCATAAGTTCAAGTCCCACACTGGAGGAAGAGTTAAACAAGATAATGCTTCTGTTTTGACCCAGCAATTTTCCCTAAAGAAAGAACAAAAGACTAGGCCCCCAAACTTAGGAACAGTACATTCCTTGATAAATTATTAATAAAAAATCTGAAAATCAGAACTTAAGGAACAACAGAACTTAGAAAAATAACATATGAACAGCTTAAAACAATGAACAAAATAGCAATAATTTCATAACTATCAAGAATTACTTTAAATGTAAATGGACTAAATTCTCTAATCAAAAGACATAGAGTGGTTTGAATGGATAAAAAACCAAGACCCAACTTTATGCTGTCTACAAAAGATTCACTTCAGATGTAAGGACACACACAGATACGAAGTGAAATGATAAGAAAATCTTTCACATAAAAATAAACCAAAAGAGAACTGGAGTAATACTTATATGAGACAAAACAGACTTTAAAATACAGTAAAAAAGACAAAAGAATTCATAGCAGCACTCTCCACAATAGCTAAAACATGGAAAGAGCCTAAGTGTCCATCAACAGATGAATGGATCAAGAAGATGTGGTGTATCTATACCATGGAATACTCCATGGCAATGAGAAACAATGAAATCTGGCCATGTGTAGCAACATGGATGGACCTTGAGGGTGTTATGCTGAGCGAAATAAGTCAGGCAGAGAAGGACAAATATCATATGTGTGCACGTATAGGAGGACTAGGAGGAACTTAACAGAGGACCAACCGGGAGAAGAAGGGGGGAAATGGTGGGGGAAAGGGAGAGAGGCAAACCATGAGAGACTCTTGAATGCTGACAAAAACTGAGGACTGATGGATGTGGGGGGGAGGAAGGATGGGCATGGAGGAGGGCACTTGTGGGGATGAGCACTGGGTGTTATGTGGAAACTAATTTGACAATAAACTATTTGTAAAAAAAAAAAAAAAAAAAAGACAAAAGAAGGGTATTACATAATGATAAATGGGTCACTCCAACAAGAGAACGTAACATTTATAAATATTTATGCACCCAACATAGAAGCAGCTAAATATATAAAGCAAGTATTAACAGCCCTAAAGGGAAAGGGAAACGAAACAATACAAAGCAGTGGTAGAAAGACACAGTAGGACAATAACAAACAGATCATCCAGACAGAAAATCCATAAGTAAACACTGACCTGGAATGATATATTAGATCAGATGGACTTACTAGATATAAACAAACAGAGCATGCCATCCAAAAGCAGGAGAAAACACATTCTTCTCAAGACCACATGAAACATTCTCCAGATCACATGTAAATCACAAAAACAATTCTTAATAAATGTAAAGAAACAAATCATATGAAGCATATTTTCCAACCGCAATGATATGAAACTAGAAACCAATTACAAGAATAAAACTGGAAAATGTGGAGACTAAACAACATGCAACTGTGAACAACCAATGTGGGTGAACAAAGTAATCAAAGGAGAAATAAAAAATACCTTGAAACAAACAAAAATGCAAACACAACATACCAAAATTTAGGGGACACAGCAAAAGTAGTTCTAAGAGGGAAGTTCATAGCAATAGAGGCCCACCTTAAGAAAGAAAAATAAACTAACTTCACTATAAGAAATTAGGAAAAGAAAAAAGCCCAAAGTTAGTAGAAGGAAAAAAATAGCAGATCAGAGAATAAAAATGAAATAGAGACTAAAAAGAACAGAAAAATATCAATGGAACTAAGAGCTGGTTCTTTGAAAAGATAAACATAATTGAAGAACCGTTAGCTAGACTTATTAAAAAAAAAAAAAAAAAGAGGGCTCAGATAAATAAAATCAGATTTTAAAAAAGATACTTCAGAAATACAAAGGATGTTAAGAGACTATTATAAATAATTATATGCAAATAAAATGGACAACCTAGAAGAAATGGATAAATTCCTAGTGATATATAGTCTTCTAGGACTGAACCATGAAAAAAAAAAAAAAAAGAACCTGAATAGACTGTATTGACTACTTGCAAGAGGACTGAATCAATAATCAAAACCTCCAACAAACAAAAGTCTAGGACCAGATGGCTTTAAGGGTGAATTCTACCAAACATTCAAGGAATTAATACCAATCATTCTCAAAGTCTTACAAAAAACTGAAGAGGAGAGACTGCTTTCACTCATTTTATGAGGCCAACATTACCCTAACCCATATCAGCTAAGGATATCACAAGAAAAGAAAATTATAGGACAATATCCCTGATGAACATAAATGCAGAAGGCGTCAAAAAATATTAGGAAACCAAATTTAACAATACATTAAAAGAACCATATACCATGATCAAGTAGGATTTATTCCAGGGATGCAAGGCAGTCTGACATCTGCAAATCAATTTCATATACTACATTAACAAAATGAATGATAAAAATCCTACCATCTCACTAGATGCAGAAAAAAGCATTTCACAAAATTTAACATGTATTTGTGACAAAAACTCTCAACAGGGTGAGAGTATAGATAATATGAGAAGCACACAGCTAACTTAATACTCAGTGGTGAGACAGGAACAGGAGAAGGATACCCAGTCTCACCACTTTTACTCAAAACAGTATTGGAAATCTTGTCAAGAGCAAGAAGGCAGGAAAAAATTAATAAAGACATCCAAATTGGAAAGGAAGAAATAAAACAGTCACTATCTGTAGATGATGATTTTATATATAGAAGAGCCTGAACACTTTATTTTAAAAATGTTAGAATGAATTCAGTAAAATGGCAGGATGCAAAATTAATATACAAAAGATATGTTGTATTTCTATACACTAACAATGATCTAGCAGGAAATTAATAATCCCATCTACAACTGCATCAAAAAGAATAAAATATCTAGGAATAAATTTAACCAAGAAAATAAAAATATTCACAGACTAAAAACTGCAAGACACTGATGAAAGAAAATAAAGGTGACACAAATAGATGGAAAGATATTCTCTGCTCATGGATTAGAAGAATTAATAATGCTAAAGTGTCCATACAACTCAAAGCCATCTACAGATTCGAGGCAAACCATTTCAAAATTCAAATGGCATTTTTCACAGAAATAAAATAAAAGATACTAAAATCTGTACGGAACCGCAAAAGACTCTTAGCAACCAAAGCAAACTGGAGAAAGAACAAAACTGGAGGCATCACACTCCCTGATTTCAAACTATATTTCAAAGCTATAATAATCAAAACATTATGATACTGTCATAAAAAGAAAGAGCCCAGAAATAAACCCACACATACAGGATCAACTGACCTATGACAAAGGCGTCAAAAATATATATGGGGAAAAGAACCGTCTCTTCAATAAATGATGTTGAAAAAACCGGACAGCCACATGCAAAAGAATGAAATTGAACTATTATTTTATACCATACACAAAAATTAACTTAAAATGGATTAGAGAATTGAATAGAAGACCTGAAACCATAAAACCCCTAGAAGCAAACACAGGTGGTAAGTTTCTTGACACTGATCTTGGCAATGATGTTTTGGGTCTGACTCCAAAAGCAAAGGCAACAAAAGCAAAAATAAACAGTGAGACTACATCAAACTAAAAAGCCTATGCACAGCATTTTAAAGGAAGTCATCAACAAAATGAAAAAGCATCCTACTGAATGGGAGGAAATACCTGCAAATGATATATATAATAAAAACATAAAGAACTCCTACAATTCAACAGAATTAGAATCATTGGAAGAATTAGAATCACTGGAATCTTACTCAGCCCCACACACATAAAATGGAACCTTGCCATTGCAACATCACTGATGGACCTGGAGGGCATTATGCTAAATGAAAAAATTAGTCAGGACAAATACTGTATAATTTCAATGACATATGCAAAGTCTTAATAAATTTTAAAACAAATAATAAAACCCAAGTTCAAACATACAGACAACAGCCTAGTAGTTGCCAGAGGAGGGGGTGCAGGGGATCGGTGAAATGGGTGAAGGTACAAACTTTCAGTTAGAAGTCATGCGGATATAACATACAACATGGTGACTACAATTAACACTGTACTGCATTTGAAAGTTGCTAGGAGTAAATATTAAAAGTTCTCATTACAAGAAAAAAACATTTTGTAACTATGAACGGTGTTGGATGGCAGACTTACTGGGGTGATTGCGCCTATACACATATGGAATCATTCTGTTGTAAACCTGAAACTATTTTAATGTTATATATCAAATATACTTCAATAAAATTTTCATTAAAAAATAAGATGATACAGGGCAACTGGTGGCTCAGTCGTTTAGGCACCGGACTTTGGCTCAGGTCATGATATGATGCCTGGTGAGTTTGCATCGCACATCAGCCTCTGTGCCTCTGCCTGAAGCCTGCTTTGGATTCTTTCCCTGTCTCTTTCTCTCTCAAAAATATATAAACATTAAAAACATTTCTTAAATAACATAATACATGCATATAAAGGTAGCTATACAGGTATTAAATGTTATAGAAATATATTCAGCATATGAAAAAAGTTCAACATATATTCACATCATAGTTAAAAAAAAATTACAAACCTCTGAAATTCTCCTTTTAAAATTCTTTGATGGGTGCCTGGGTGGCTCATAGGGTTAACTGCCAGACTCTGGATTTCGGCTCAGGTCGTGATCTTTCAGCTCAGGTTGTGATGTCATGGTTTATGAGATAGAGCCCCAGGTTGGGCTCTGTGCTGGGCATGGAGCCTACTTAAGATTCTCTTTTTCTCTCTGCCTCTATCCTGCTCACGCTCTCTCCCCCTCAATTAATTACTTAATTTAAATAAATAAAATTCTCCTTTTAAAAGTAATAGGAAACCAATTCAAGATAGCTTTGAGAAACTTAGAGTAAGAATATTACTGGAATAATGTGATGAAAAAAGGTGAGCAGTTGGGCCTCATACCGGAAATGGAAAACTATTCAACTATTTTTCAACTACTTTTCATGTGCTTCATCCTACTTATGCATTTTTGTCATTTAATGAGACCAGCGTAAGTCTGCTATGGCTAGACAACATCTTGTACCAATGTGATCTTAAGGGGCCCAAAGAAATGAGGCTTGTGAGAACCAAATAACCTTTCCTAAAGGACCTACTACAAGAATGTTGAAAGGAAAACTTATTAATTCCAGGATAAAAGTGGTCTTCCTCAAAAATTAATAGAAACATATATACCAAATTTTAATAGTTATTTATTGGTATAAAATTATGAGCAACTTTATCTTTTGCTTATATTTTCTATAATTTCTACTGAAATGTGTATTAATTTTATAAATTAGAAAAGTTTATTTTAGAAGCTAAACTATCAGGCCATTATGGTATAATTCTAAAAGAGGGAACACAGGGTTTAAAAAATCCACAATGCTTATACCCTTTATTTCTCTAAAAATGTATGTGTGCATAGAAAAAGAATGGAAAATACAATAAAACATTAGCAGTGATATTCCTAGATGATAGAAATAGATTATTTTTTTCCTCATACATCATTTTCCATATGTTCTGATGGTTCTCTAACAGGTATATATGACTTTCGTACTTTGAGGAAGGTGCATGCCCAGTGGACTGAGTTTTTGTGTAGACTTTAATCCTGTAGGAACTACTATGATGACCAGATACAAGAGTGGTTTCTGGCTGAAGAAACAGCTGGAGAATATTATAAACTACCAACAATAACAACTACTCACAACTCTGATTTACCTTGAGAACCACTGGCCTACAAAATATTAAATGAGTGCTGAAGGAATTCAAAGATTACACATAATTAAAAAATAAAATTTGCATGCTATGATTCTACAAATTATAACTGTTTAAACGTAGAGAAAATATTTAGAGTAATTTTATCTAAGTAAATTTGTATACATTACTAGGTTCAAAGGATTAACTCTTTTCTGTCCTATTAGAGAAAAGATAAAATTGGTTTTAGTGGCAGCAAAGTTTTAACTACACCATCAACCATGTAAACCCAGAAACATATACGGTAAAAAATAAATCAAGATTTAGATAAACATAAAATTTAACACTCACTACGTTGCTACATGGTGGCTCCAATCTCCTTGCCATTTGAAAACATGAAGAGTGCTAATGAAAATTCTATAGGTTGAAGGCTTTTTTTTATCAAAACCACAAAGTTAAACAGTAAATATGAATCCCACAGGAAGGGTAATAAGAACACTAGAGAAGAGTCTTTCCCTATTTTCCTAAAACTTTTAAATTGAATATATCTATTTATCTATTGTAGATTAGCAGCAACATCCGGCTTAGCAAATTTCTATAGATTTCTTTCTAGTTCTCTATACACTGTGACAAAGCCCTAAAATGAGGTTTTAGAACACCCATCAATACAAAAAGCGTACGGTTTGGTAAAATAGATCTTCAAGTTCTAGTGGAAATACTTCACTTCCCTAATATTTAACCACTGAGGTATAAATTCTTAGCTAATAAGCAAGTATTTAAAACAACTCTAATGTTTTAAAATATATTATTCTACTCTACATAAATTTTTACTGTGGTACTTGAAAATCTATCAAAGTAAGGCTTTTTTTATATTTAACCATCAATTATTTTTACATTAACCACTTTTATTTAACTTGAAAAGTTTTTAATTACATGGAATCAAAAAACCCCTCTCAACATATTCCTTACAGGAAAAACGGAAGGAGATACATTGCAATGGTGTCTGACAGCCGTGGTAATTCTAACAGGGGAGAATATGTGCAAAACTGTAACAAACTCTATATATAAACAGTCTAAACAGATTTTTAACAATAAAGATATAAAATTAAATGTTATTATGTCAGCATTTTCAGAAAAAGATATAGCAGTAACTGTAAAAGCATTATCCTAGTACAAATAAATTACAGAAAATACACTCAATTTAACATAAATCTCCTCTAAAACGTGAACCATATATTATCTCAACATGATTTACAGAAGACAACATATCCAATGAAAAATCCAAACTCACTTTTTAGGTAATACCCAGAATATTAAAAATGCTGTTCCTATTTTAACATGTATTTCTCAGAGTAAGATTCACCATGAACATTTTAGATTTTTACATCCTCCTTAGATTACCAAGTGAAAAATCCAACAATACACAAACAGATACTTTCATCAGCACACAAAACAAAGGTAGGTAGGTTAGGAAACAGAACACAAGTTCAATCTAATCAATACAATACCAGTACAGAAGCATCCATTTTAACCCACAAGGAAAAACCTGAGCCACAAAGCAGGGCTTCCATTTTGAATCTCACTAACTTCTAGATAGTATGTGTATTTTGACCTTAAAGTGATCAAAATGTGAGTGAAGTTCATGTTCCACCACCTAACAGTTCTAATGCAACAGAAAAATTGTCATTTTATGTTACTGAGAGTTTTTAACGAAGTCTTTTGTTATTTATTTTTTCAGCACATGTTAGAATTATACAGAGATTTCTTAAAAATCAAATGTGAAATGTCTATATACATTAAACTGACAGCATAATCTCTACCTCTGAAATGCTAATATAGTGTTTAAAATTAGACAAACTAACATCCAGTAAACAGCATTTTATTTTATGACACTCTGTGTTAATACAATAAATATACAAAACTTCCAAACCACTGAAAACATGCAACATTAGAGGGACAGATGGAGGGCATTTATATAGAACCATGACACTCATCATGATGGCAGCGCAATATTACTCATTGACAAAATATACAAACACCCCTAGATAAATAATCCAAGTCCCAAATTACAAATCACTGAGCAATGATTTTCCAGTGTTCAAATTTTAGTTTGAAGTAAAATAGCCACAAATTAATATTGCAAACTGAAAAATGACATGGATGCTTACAACAGGAAAACCATTTCATGACTGTGATACCGGGTGGGTCACATTAGTATTAAATATAAAACATTAACAAATGCCAATCTTTTGCTGGAAAATGTGACCATTTACCAACTATTGTTAGGAGAATAGAGAAAATAAGAATTTAAAGCCCCTATGCCTTACCAAACTGTTAGTATTGCCATCATTTTAATCCACATTTATGTTTTTAGAAAACAATTTTCTCTCATAAGCTTCTATTAACCCAAATAACTGGATCTTGAACATTCTCCCCATCCACACACAAAAAAGGTACTGTTAGTTTTAGTTACATGGTATTTAACAATGCTACCTTTGGGGATTTCTACAAAAGAGAGATAATTCCTATTCTTGAAGGAAAGTATGTCAGTATTTTTCAAGTCTCTATATTCATTTGTAGTTAAAAGAAAAAAAGAAATGGACTTGAGATGTAAATTAATGACGAGCATAAGAGCTCCTGTTGTATTTTGTGGTTAATGTTTTGGATGTCTGTAAAATACACACTCAGTAAAGCACACTGTGATAAAATAGATTTTCAGTAATATTACAGAATCTGAAGAACTTGAACTGGCTTATTTGTTTGACAAAGTAGGGATATTATTAGTAATCAGAAACATTCATAAAAACAACTTTAAATTCATTTTCTGAATCCTATTTTAATCAGAATAACAGAAATATCTTCCAAGCATATTACTTGAATAAATCCCAAATAAATAAAATGTAAACACCATCTAGATGGATCCATGTTACCTCTATCACGCAAAGCTTCCCTTATAAATAGTGAGAATTCATCATCCCACCCTCAGTATGAAAATTCATTTACCTCCAGATTTGGGGAAAAGAATGCAAGTGATTTAACCATTTATACCCATCTGATTCTTATTTAAAAAAAAAAATTATTTGCAGTCTCAAATAATTTAACCCAATAGACCATCCTTACTTAATATCAAGTTGAATAAATCACTACTGATTATTCTGCAATCTTAAATTAGCTAAGGACTTCCAAAACACAGTATAATGACTTTCAAAGGTCTTTGCGTCATTTAATCAGTATTAAATATGATTCAAAGTTTCAAACCAAGTATACTCTAAGAATGAACTCCTAGGCTGCATAGTAACAATTTCAACATGGTCACAGTCATAATTAATGCATTTAACTGTAGCTGTATTTTCTTGCTTGGTTCAAGTTATATGTTTTATTTTTTCTATTGCTGAAAAACTTCAATGTATTCAGTCTGTGTTAAAAGTTCAAAGACTGAGGTGCATTAGGGATTCAAGTACATGTGAAACAAAAGCATCTTTTTCTTTTTAATCCCACTACAGATGAGAAGCTAAAAGAAAAATCCCTGAAATACTGTATATTCTTTCTGGACAAGGAATTAGTCTAGTCTTTAATACCTCTGTTAAAAATTACACACACACACTCCCCCAAAAAAAGCTGCCAAACACAATTTCAGTTCAATTAAAATGAGTAGCCACAAGAATATACCAAAGTTTCCATACAGTAATATTCTACTATGATACGAATACTGAAAATTAAAAAAACAAAACAAAAAAAACAACGGTATTATCATCACTACATTCTATTCCATTGATTACCTACCCTCTTTTGGATAATGCACTGCATATTATGTTCTCATATTGCATCCCAATAAATTTTTATTTAAAAGAAACTATTGCAGAAAATCTCTTCTTTGATTCTACCACCAACTCTGTAATCCTATAACCAAAAGCAGTGCAAAAGCCAAAATACTAATTCTTTTAAGAAATGTGGTGTCCATGCAAGATCAGAGATTGGTATGAAAATATCAACTACTCTATAAAAATAAAACAAAAAGAAAAAGATAAAATTTACATTATCTACTACGAAATGCACACAGGCTCTTCACTGGTAACTAAAACTGCTAAAAAGCAAGCCAATTTTAAAATCCCTAAGTCCCTGATGGCCTATTTCTTTGAATATAAATGGGGAAAATGGAATGAAGCATTGCTTTAATGCTCCAATATGTAATCCTTAAGCCTAAGATTTTTGAAAGAATGACTGCAGCTAGTACTAAATGCATTTTTAATCATAAGTACCATATTAATTTCAGTGTGTCACCACTGAAATAATTTGCTGAACATTCATCCCCCAAAAAATATGGAGAATATTTATTTAGCATGTGATTTTTTTTTTTCTGCAAGGGGCACCAAAATATTAAGAAATTGCTAGGTAAATAAGGTAAGGAAGTGTTCTGGTTTTAGCCCATGCACAAGTGAACAGGAAATATACATGCTGGGTGTACTGTGTTTTGAACATAAAAATATTTATAGAATACAGTAACTGGAGAAAAAGTACAGTCAGAAGGTACCAGTGTATTGTTGGAGGGTTCGCTATATCTGGTTACCCTTGAAAGCATTCTGAGCCGCACTAGTTGCTGCACTTGAAGCTGCATTTGCAGCTGCAGTCTGGACAGTTTTGTTGGACATCACACCTGTTGCAAATTCTTGTTGGGCCTTCTCAAAACTAGCACCTGTTGTGCGGTATAGTCCATGTACCTACAGAGGCACAAAAAAGTGGGACAAGGTTAAGTGGTAATCTGCACACTCATTTTCAGCAACCCTTCAATTAATCTTGACATTACTCAGAGAAAAAGGACTAGATTCTAGCCATGATTCCTAAGGTCAAGAACATTAGCCACCACAATGACATACGATATTGTATTTAAATATTTTCCTTTTTTTTTTAAAATATTTTTATTTTATTTCTAGGAGAGAGAGAGACAGCGTGAGCAGGGGAGGGTCAGAGAGAGAGGGAGATACGGACTCTGAAACAGGCTCCAGGCTCTGAGCTGGCAGTCAGCACAGAGCCCGACGCGGGGCTCGAACCCACGAATCGCGAGATCATGACCTAAGCGAAAGTCGGACGCTTAACCGACTAAGTCACCCAGGAGCCCCTGTATTTAAATATTTTCCTAACAGAGTGTTCCACTTTATCCCCAATGCAGAAGAGAGAGTTATGCTTATGCCAAACCAAAAATAATTTTTAAAACTTATTAACCAAATGCAAAAAGCTATGTTTTCTGCTGTACTTACTTTTCAAGATACTACAAAGAATGGTTTAAACATAACAAGAGACATTCAGACATAAATACATTAACTTACTACCTTAGGCAATTCGAAGAAAATAATGCCTTATCTACTTCCATGCTGTCTACATATACACCACTAACCCTATTATAATCAAATGTTTACTATTTCATCATTTAATATACCAAGCACTACTTATGTCTTTAAAGATACTTTTGCTATCCTCTTTCACTCTGTGTACCATTTTGCTTTTTGTGTATGGTCAAGTCCTGAAGGATTTACTTTTAGGAAATTTGGGGAAAGGAAAAACATCTGGGAACTATCTGCCCATAATGATTTATCACTTAAATCTCTGCGACTTATTTTCTAGAGCAAGATTCAAAAACATTCTATTAACATACATTATGAGATGTATAAACTAGGAAGTGCAACAATACATAACATCAGCCAATTTATGTAAATCTGAGAAAGGAAAAAAGCAAATTAGAATATTTATTTATTACATGCCTACAAACTTAGGGGGAGGGAGAAAGAGACAGAAAGGGAACCTGTAATTATACCATATTTTGATGAGATCTAAATTAAGCCTACCCAGAATGCAATCGAAGCACGTTTGGGGGATAGAGACCATTCACCCACATCAGTCGTTTTCCCAGTCCTGAATAAGAACTGATACTTGTGGAGTAAATACAGAATAAAAAGTAGAACGTGTCAAAGACTTTTAAATCAACGTGGATACTGGGAAGTTGTTTCAACAAGACAGAGAATAGGTATGATAGGTTGGTTTAGAGGGGAAAGGAGATACTAAGTTCTAAACATTCATATCTACTACAGCAGGCAGCAGGCAGGTGAAGATTTGGTTTGGAGCTCAAGAGAGGAATAGGCCAGAGACAAGTACTTGAAAAGCAATGACACATAAATAGTAGCTGCAACTCTGACATAAATGAAATGGTCCATGGAGTAAAACAGAAAGTCAAATATCAAAGTCTGTTAAGATACCAATATTTAAGAGGTACCCACAACAACAAGGAATAATTAAGAAAGGAATAGGAAAAACCAGGGACTTTTTCCACAGATGCCAAGGGAAGAAAGCCATGTTAAGGAATGAAGAGCTGCTCAGGATGGAAGATAAAAATACCCAGACAGCCCGGAGTTCTTCTGACATGGTGATGAAACCAAATGCCATTTTATAGTGGAACAAAGTGTAGGAGAGTCAGGAAGAAAATGAGAGCACTGACAAGTACACTTTAGGTAAACTCTAAAATTGTTTTCTTCTAGTATATGTCACTATCATAATTTAATTCCTTTAATACTTTGAGAAAATGATGAGAAAATTACTTCTTCACATGTTGGTTAAGTGAACATTATATTTTATCTCCTTTATATTCATTTTTCTCCAGGGATAATCTTTATGCATTATTCAAATTGACTATCATGACACACAAAAATGGTTCCAAACAAAATTGCTGATCCCTACTTCTGAACATCAAGGGATCTGAAAAATTAATCTTCACATTCACAATCTGTGAAACATCATTCTATTACATGATCACTTCCTGTTGTAATTTCAAAAATCAACATTTTCAACACCAGTTCTTCAGGTTGGGAATTTTCAGAATCATAAGCAATTATTTTTATTCCAATTTTTCTATGGAACATTAAAGATACAGATAAATTACTACAGCTATATTCAGGAAAAGTATCGTAAAAACAATGAACACATATAATTAGGACCAAGAAAATTTAGTTTATTATAGGAATCTAATAAACTTTGTCTACTTACTACACAACTGTCATAGTACAATATAATCACAGATTCACTTGTCAGTCTCTTCTCCTTTCCCCCTAAGTTTATGGGCATATAATCAACAAATGTTTGCTCTAACGTGCTTTGTTATTTCCTTTTCCAAATTTGTTTTAAATTGAGTGCCTGATGTTACATATTCATGGGCTTCATATTTAATTATTTAATTATATATATTTAATTATGTCATGCACAGCCCCCAAAGAGCAGGAAGGCAAAGTAAAGGTACGAACAGCACACATTTCTCAGTAGTCCAAATCAATATAGACTCAGACAGCCACCTAGAGGGAAGAGACTACACATATGTATTCAGTGCATAATGGTCAAATACTGTATGAAATCCATTATATTCATGGGAAAAGGAGGATTCTTTTTATCAGTGCTCTAACAACATGACAGGCTAATTACCATCTCAAAAAACTCCTCAATTTCCTGCTATGTTTCATCGTGTTATCTATTGATAGCTCATATTCCTCATGACATCAGGGACAAAGCTTTAAGGCAAAATACTACAATTTGAAAAAACAACCTAAATACTTTCTATCTCTTCTAGTTATGAGGATTTCATTAATCTAAATATTTAGCTCTAGGAGTAGCACAGAAAGAACAGATTTGCTATCTACTGATTCCACTACTTTCTGCCTGGCTGGTTACCACTCAAAACCTCAAGTTTACTTCCCATGAAACAAGAGTACTTGTCCTATCTGTCTCTCACATTTTTCCTAAGGATCAAATGAGAATTATGTAAATGTGTCACTCTAGTAAAAATTAAAATTGATTTTTAAGTATCTGGAGAAGAGTCACAGCCAAGATGCAACTCCAGAAGGGTATCTTGCTTCTTTCTATCTTCAAAAATATGTTAGTGTATACTGTGGTGGTATATGACACAAAAAAATTATATGCTATGGAAATTAAAGACCCATGGTACTTTACTTAAACAAAATAATCCAAACATATATAAAGCTTACAGAAAATGATTTCAAGAAATGATGCTCTTATTAATGTAAGACGCCTGTTACATAAAAATAACTTTTTAAAACCTGAGAAAAAACAAATTCTTGAAATTTTTATTGTTTTGAGTTTTTTAGAAAAACTTATAGATCTCTTAGCCTAATGTTATCAATTAAACATTTCCTATAAACCATCTGTGAATTGCCCATAGATCTGGGTCAGATAGCCCTTCTGTCATCTCTTGAATTAATACTCTAGTTTCACACTATTGAAATCCTGTTCCTCCTTTGCGGGCTATCTCAAATACCACTGTCCTCTTTCTGCTTGATGCATGCAGCTGTGGCTCTCCCTGTTGTGAGCACCTCCAATACTCTGTACATCTTTTAGGGACATATAGTGTGCCTTTTCTTTTGTAGGGTTTATCTACATGTCTTATACCCCATGTGCTTTTGGTTCCTTGAGGGAAAGAGCTAATTTCCATTCATTATTATATCACCTATAAGATACAGTGACTTGCTGGGGTATATGGCTGGCTTAGTCATTAAAGCATGCAACTTTTGATCTTGGGATCATGAATTCAAGTCCCACAGTGGGTGTAAAGCTTACTTTAAAAAATTAAATTAAAAAAAATTTTTTAATTAAAAAAATAAGACAAAGTAACTTATAGTAGAAGCCACTAAATAATTATTTTTTTCTTAATTTGTTAGGGATTAAACAAAGCTCAAAACTGTCCTATTAAAAAAAGTTACCAAAGAGGTATAATACTAATCTAACAGACTGTACCTATGTTACAAAGTAAATTGCTTAGTTTGCAATTATGTTCATAGGCTATTTTAAAAAGGAACTTTAACATGCCACTTACATCAATAGATCATTCAGGCAGAAAATCAATCAAGAAAGCTGTGGCTTTGAAGGACACATTAGGCTAGATGTGCTTAATAGATATATACACAGAACACTTCATCCAAAAATAGCAGAACACACATTCTTTGAGCAAACATAGAACATTCTCCAGGACAGATCACATATTAGGTCATAAAATAAGCTTCAATACATCTGAAATTCTATCAAGTATCTTTTCTGATCCACAATGATATTAAACTATAAATCAATTACAAGAAAAAAACTGGGAACACACACACAAATACATGAAGGCTAAACAGTATGCTACCAACCAACAAATGGGTCAACAAACAAAACAAGAAGAAATTTTAAAAAATACTTTCACACAAATGAAAATGGATACCCAACAGTTCAACATCTTTGAGACAAAGCAAAAGAAGATCTAAGAAAAGCCTACCTCAAGGAAACAAGAAAAATCTCAATCTAACCTTACACCTAAAGGCACTAAAAACTCAGGCCCAACGTTAGTAGAAATAATAAAGAAAATAAAACGTATCAGACTGGAAATAGACCAAAAAAATTAACGAAACTAAGAACTGGTTCTTTGCAAAGAAAAAAATGATAAACCTTTACCAGAACTATCAAACAAAAAAGAGGTTCAAATAAATAAAATCAGAAATAAGAGGACAAATTACAATCAATACCACAGAAATACAAAGGATTACAAGAGACTACTATGAAAAATTATATGCCAACAAACTGGACAATCTAAATGAAATGGATAAATTCCTAAAAACAGACAATCATCCAAGACTAAATCAGGAAGAAACAGAAAATCTGATCAGATGGATTACTAGTAATGAAACTGAAT